ATGGGTCCAGAGTGTTTGTGCTCTAGTAGCCACTTTGCCATTGTTCGATTCTTACTAATGAATTTGATGTCGCCCGTGGGAAATCCGGTGACCGCTTGTACTTGAACTAGTGTGTTATCCATTTTTGCATTGGTTGAGCTGAGGGGCTTGATTGACATTGGTAACAATCTGAATCGGAGAGAGGTTCAAGAAGGGTTTTTCCGTCCCTGGACGCGTCCTGATGATAGTATGGCCCTCGTTTAAAGCGGTTTATGTAACTGTAGAAGGAATCGATGGTAATGGGTGTGGTACGTTCTTGATTGATCTAATTGGAGCAGTGATTTGAGCTGTAGTTTGCTTCGCAGACGGAGTAGCTACAGATGCATAAGACATCTTTTCTTGTTGGTGTATTGGAGCGGGTGTGTTGGTTTGTATGTCGAGACTATGAATAGAGTCAGAATCTAAGGTCTTCTCCATTCGTTCTAGTCGTTTGGCTAGGTCGTCCAATCGCGCAGTGAGGAATTCCATCGAGTGGTGTGGGATTTCCGAGTTTAAGGAAGATTCCTTGCTGAGAGCTTCTATCTTATCTAGTCGATCCACTAGTGCCTGTAGAGTGTTGAAAAGTGTATCGAGGGTGGTTGGCGCACTGGTTTTGGGACCTCCAGCTGCTGACTTGTTGTTCTTCGTCATTCTTGAGCGCTATAGAAGAAAGGGTCGGTCGAGAGAAAGGAGCTGTTTGAGTGGAGGATTGAGCCGGGCTGTAGCTCATAAGAGAAGCCAAGGAGTGGAGAGAAAAGGATGACAATCGAATGTTATTAATCAAAGGTAGTGAGGTTGTGGTTGATGGTAGGAAGCCAGCCTTCTCATCATGGTATCACACCACTGCTCTCGGATACCGACTTGCACCCCCGGGGGTGGGGGGGCGGAGGTTACACAACCCATCCGGAAAAGTTGGGCCAAAAAATATACCAAGAGCCAGCCGGGCCCCGGCTGGCCGAACTTAACACAAGTCCCTCCCTGGGCCCGAAGGGCCGCCTCCCGTCAGGGAGGGACTTGCACATAATGTCGCACATCTGGGCTGAGGGCATCCAGCCAAATGGCCGGATAAATCACAAAACTCCCCATTTCCCCCACAAGATGACTGTTGTTAGGGAAGCCGAGCGGGACATAGACTCGCATGATTTTTCTCATTTTTTCCATGTCTTTACTTTCCTACCACTCCTCCTCAAGCCAAAGATATTATGCTCGATCAAAAATGAAAAATACAAAATCTGATTGGACCATGACCGGATATTTCCCCTCCGATGTCCGGTCTCACGCCCTCATGACAACCATGTCATTGAGCCTTGGAGTCTCACTCTCACTCGCATTCATGCTGTCAAAGAACCTGTCAACTACGACATAACAAGTTTTCTAAATTCCGATCCGGTCATGCGAGCACGATCCGACTATCTGAACCAGAGGAAAAAAAAAATTGGCATTTATTACTATTTGCCAAGAGTTAACTCCCAAAGCATGTCCTCCTTCAAACAGATCGGAGGAGGCTCATTTTTGATGCTAAAAGATTATTTTTTTTTTAAACAAAAGCCAAGATGCAAGGCTCACCTCCGGTAACCTCATTTCCTTAGAAGGAATTGAGGTTTTGGAGGCAAATCACTTTGAAGTTTAAAAGTGTGAAATTTCAGCCTTAAACCTTATGACCTCAGGCCGCGAGGTCGATTTATCATGTAAGCCTCTCCTTCGGAGAGCGTCCCTTCGGGACGCGGGGTCCCTTCGGGACCCTCCGATCGAGAGGCTTTGTTAAGCTCGGGCTGGCTAGGGGGTTCAAAGAGATAGACAATGGGGGCAATTTCTGTTGTAACATACATGTTACATGCCTGAACTTGCCGCAGCACGGCTTCACATGTAAGACTCAACTTTTTGTCAGAGAAGCTGAGTTGTCTTTTCTGCATTTTTGATATCTAAGATTTCCGCGGCATAGCCTCAATAGGTTATGAGCCCTTAAAAGTTTCTCGCTCAACAAACATCAAACAAAAGCCAGCAATTTCAGCCTTTGATTCAACCCAAAGACTGTCCAAAATCCTCCCAGCCTTTAATTTGACCCGGAGACTGTTGAACTATCGCCGGTATCCCAGAGTAGGGTGTAATCGCCCGGTGCCGTGTTTTTGGAGGGTGTTGCTTTGTAGCAATACTGTGTGGTTTCTTCTGTTTGGTTATATTTTCCTTCACCTTTTCCCTTCTTTCATCCAAGGATTTCAGCAGTTAGTTATTCCAATTACGCTAAGTGGACTAGCCATCCACCGATTACAGTTCTAGTGGCCCTAGAATGGTGCAGAAAGGTGTAATCTTTTCTGTTTTGATTGACTGTCTCCCTCTCTACATCCTTCTCACTCATACCTTACAGTTACTCACAGTATTGTCACAGGTAACGTCCTCCAATTTCACATCTCATCCTTTTTTGATCATCAAATCGTTTCTCCAAACCTTTGATACGCTATTCAACTCTCACTTATCGGCTATCTATCTTAATGTCTCGTGTAGATCCTAACAGCACAAGGAATGTATGGTTTTCAGCCACAGAGTACATGTCACAGTACCTTTCATGTACCAAGTAACTGCAACACCTGTACTTATGCACATAAGTACTTATCCATAATGTTGATTACCTTTACCTCTTGTTATCTTATCATTATCTTTAACTTATCTTATCCTACTTTATCTTATCTGATTAATTACTTATCTATTAAATACATACATGCTTCATACATAAGTAATTATCACTTACCTTTCACTCCTTTACCAGTGAAATACCTGTACCACAAGTTATCCCTGTTCTACAGTATTTTCACGGTCAAATACCTTAATAAATAAATATGTACATACCTTGAATGTTAAGTATCAATTAATCATTGAATGAATATGTCAGCTTGTCACTGAGAAAGCAGGACAATCTGACTGGGTTTTTAGAAATTTAGTTTTAACTTTTAAAAAATACTTAATTACATTTACATGGTCCATAATTGAGTAAAAGAATAAACACAAATCAATGGCCAAATACATTAGGAGTGCGCGTCAGAGATTCCGCAGCAGTAGTATACTTCATTAACACACCTGCGTCATCTCCAGCGCTATTCCTTGAGCTGTGACACCCTGTTTCTCAGATGTCACACACTTCAGAGTAATGGTCGAGGTCGGCATTGCTAGTCATGACCTCATGACCAAGGAATCAAATTAGACAGAACCGAAACGAGAAACTACTTCCCATGAGCCATCGGTGCCGGACCCGATGAAGATAAAAGCCAGCACAATTAAGGAAAGATTGGGCATCAAGTATCCACTTTTCTTTTTCAGAACCACTTCTTAAATAAATCCTCAAACCACCACACTAACCTCTTGCTCTCCTTCACAAACCTCAACCAGGAACACCAAGCCATCGAACGACATCCCTGACCCACACGTAGACTCTCAGCGCTATCTAAACAGGACCTTGTTGCCTTTGGATTCCACTGCTGCCTGAGCTTCGAACAGCTTCGTACTTGAGGGGACTCCGACTCAAGTAAGTAAACTCCCTTAGCTCTAAACTACCTCTCCATCTTCCGATACACGGACCGAATACCCTCGCCTCTTGCCGAGACCCCGCCTTAGCCGCCACCAGTCGTCATATTAGACTTAGGCTCGTATCCCAGAGGGCACCATAAACACCCCCATAACCTGGGCCCCTCTTTTCATCCTTTCCTATCCAAAATACCATACCAAACCACCCCATCACCCAGTGTAGCTAGAAGACTCAGAGTCTTGGTATCACCGCGGCTGACAGAATACAATCAACACATGTACTGATTTTAATAATGACCTCATTATTTATTGTGTGATCTTAATAATGACTTCATTCTTAATTATCCTTTTCCTCAAAGTCATCACGGACAAGAATCATTACAGATAAAATATTCATGTATTGTTTTGCATTACCAATTGAATTAATACAATCATTAAATGTACTGATCCTTATTTATTATTTTAAGCTGAAGGATCTGTTAAGCTGTACACGTCACAAATACTAATTAGTGATCCTCTAGTAAATACTATGACAGTTCTAAGAGCATCCGCATCGGTTGATTGGATTAGTGAGGATTAGCGACCTCTTTAATCCCAGGATTAGTGGGGTATAAATTTAACCCCCGCTAGCTCCAAAACCAACCCTGGAGCTAACTTAATCCAACCTCTAATCCCAACCAATATGGTTGGGAGGATTAGATTAGGCAGCTAATCCTGCCTAATCCACACACCGATGCGATTGCGGATGCTCTAACAGATCATTACAAATAAAGATCAGTTACTCAATTAACCCTGCTCTTCCCCTTGGTACTTTCACCCATGATTCAGAGCCCTTATTCATTTCCCCATGTAATATTCTGGAACTTATAATCCGTGACACTTCCACTGATTAATCCCCAGAATATTTCAGACACTAGCTAAACCAGTTAACATTTATATTGATACAGTACACGTAACCAACATAAATCTAGTCTACTTTTACTGTTCTTAAGCTTCAGTACACTTACTCAACTTATCCACAATATTCATAGCCTTGCTGAATATTCGCATCAACAATACCTATCAATCTTCAACTAATTTTGCTAAAGCTTAATAAGTATTGTTAGCCCATTCCCTTTGGGGAATAACCAAATCAATCCCAGGTGAGTCTTAGTACCCTGGATGCCTATTAATACCATGTATTGATCCGGATGCACTGTTGATAGCAAGCCTCTCAGTAAAGACCATACTGATAGAGTGAAACCTCCTCATTACAGTACTGGTATTAATCACCCACTACCTAACACTCACCACGCTCAAAACTTCAGTCAACTCATAGTAACAACCTTTTACTACTAAACACTCAGGTTAGTTACCCAGAGGCTGAAAATGGTCAAGATCTTCTTCGGTCAGTCAAGGATCCGGGGAACTGACCGATAGTGAGATGGGGATACCGGACGGAGAGACTGTTAAATAATGTGCTGGGCAATAACGATGTTGGCGGGACCAGGCTGGCTGACGAGACTATTTGTCATCCGTCCAGCCATTGTATTGTGACTGGGGCTGGTCCGTCTGGATTGAACGCAAACCCGCATCGTCACCTCCCTCTGCATGTTGTGCAAGCTCTGGGCAACCTCGGCCCGTTTCAAACGACGTCTAGAGACATACCTCAAACTTGAGCTCAGACCCACAACAATTGAGAGGATGCAGATTTCATGGCGGTCAAAATTCGACTGGAGCAAGCAAAGCTGGT